GATCTGTAAGCTAAAGTGCCGCTATATAGCTTGAAGAACCGACAACCGATGGATGGGTATGATGAAGGGTTAGAGTGGTAGCCTCGGACTGGAAAACGCAGTGTGGGCGACCCTCCACTGGATGGTGTGACGACCTGAATAAAGTCGAATAGAATCGAATATCGAATAGAAGTCGAAGGATGCTGGTGGATCAGGACCGTACTTTCTGGCAATCTGTGGGATAGGCCAGTTCACCAATGAACTTTTATTCTAGTAGTAAATTGAAATATTTTTTACTGTCAATACGAGATGGCTGAAGCTTGACTGGTGGCTTGGCTGGTGGCTTGTCTTTCGCAGCACCAGACATCTGTCACCTTTGACGCTACTCCCCGTCGCTGGTACGGCTATTTTACGTCTGGCGTAAACGAGAATGTTTGACACCGCCTTTCATCGGAAGCTATAACACTTTTGCATATTCTAAAGTCGTGACTTACGACATCCACATGAAGAAGTTATTTTTTATTTATTTAATCTGTATTGTGTTACACTTTAATCTAACACTTGCGTACCTGTTGCGTACAGTGTACAGACGCAAGATTGACCCACCCTGATAATTAGCCAACAGACTTCATATTATTGGTAAACCATCAATGTTAATAATTGGCATGGACGTTATTTCATTATTTCAATAAATTTCGGCGAATATTTTAGTGCCACGATTCGCCGCACAACATTTGTAGGTCGCTACTTCTCGGCGTATATCAGCTCTGCGTATGTTCGACTTTTTTCTCCATCTATTACTCCCCGTTACATGTTTTACTAATTGTACCTACTGATTTTATTTAAAAAAAAAAAACATCAATATTAATACCATTTATATTTTATATTTTTCAAATTGCCTTGTCACACATGAGAAGTTTCCTTGAAGAACAAAAATATTAGAAAATATATATCTGACAACTCCTCAAGCTCCACCTCAGATTCAAGTTACCTCCAATCTTGATGAAAGAGAAATAGCTTATATGTAACTAAGGTAGGTCCGAGATCGCAAATTGGGAGCAGCAAGGCGTGCCGAGAGCGTTCGGAATGTGCATACAGCCACGGATGGGCCTGCTTGGACCGGGGTGGTACACGACTCACAGAATACCAGCGGGAAGTAGAAGCTTACTTCTACGTTTCACCTGGTAAGTGCAAGTGTAAGTGGTCGGAGGCCCAAATCCCCCCTTGACATGGTAATGGAGTTAAATCAAACACTACCCCAGGAGAGTATCAACACCTCTGTAGTACCACTTATTGTGCTAAAGACTTGTGCCCCGGAGTTGGCACCGGTTTGTTTTCGTTACTCCTACTCACTAGGCGTAGTCCCGAATTCATGGAAGATAACTTTAGTCCACTCGATACCTAAAAAAACCGACCACTCAGACCCGTCTAACTACAGGCCTATCGTATCGCCATTATAAATTGCCAGCTCATGAGGTAACTTAAGGATCACCGGCTGATATGGATAGAAAACGTGATTAGCGATACGGTTTTCGTGGGGGTCGAAGGGGGAGGCCTTGGCCATTTGTCTGGTTATAGCGAAGGTATTCCATCGGGTTTGGCACAAAGCGCTTCTTTCGAAGCTTCCTTCCTATGGGTTTCCTGAGCTTGTGCAATTGGATCATAAGTTTTCTTTCAGATCGGAGCATCAAGAACGTAGTTAACGGCTTGCGTCCACAAGACTGCATGGTATCACCAACGCTGTTTCTTCTGCATATCGATGACATATTGCAAACCGATAACATTTATTGCTATGCGGACGACTGTACGGTGATGCTTTTTACACCGGCCGTGCAAATATTTATCAGGAAAACGTGGCCGAGTATCGGAACAAACTTGTGTCTGAAGTCGAGAATGTGTCCAGCAAAGTTTCGAATTGGAGGCTACTAAATTTAGTCCAGTTCAATCCCCAGAGGACACAAGTTTGGGCGTTTACTGCTAAAAAGAACCTCTTTGTTGTATCCTTTTATTTTAGGGCACTCTCATTGTTGCCTCAGCCAGTATCGGAATCCTCGGCGTCGATATATCGAATGACGTGCAATTTAGTGGTTTCATCAGATCAGATCAGATCAGCAGAATGTGAAAGTATTTTATGCTGTAATAGGTCCTTCCGTTTGATCGTATCCAGCGCAGAGCTGTTCATATCGTCGGTAACTAAGCTCTTTCTGATCGACTGGGGCTACTAAGAGATGTTGCATCTTTTTGCGTATTTTATCGATCTACCACGGGGATTGCTCTGAATTGTTTGGTCTAATTGCAGCCGCTTAATTTCACCATCGCGCATATTGACAAAACTCGCGATACAATCCATACTATTTGGATGGTTGGCGGTCCACCACTGTGCGATTTATAAGAAGAATTTTTTTACTTCCTCGTACAACTTCCTTGTGCAATCGACTACCACCAGCGATTTTTCCGGTCCGATACGAGTAAGGGAAATTCAAGAAAAGAGGCCTTTTTGGAACTTTGGAACACACCTGCGATTCTGCTGCAGTTGTTCACGGGCGGCGGTACGAAACTTACCATCAGGTGTGGCGCATGTTTATTTGCCCACTCTTCTATAGATGGATTTTATAAAAAATTACAAAGATTTCGCAAGGAATCTTACGCCCGACATCTCATCAAGTGTAACAGTTGCACTTGGATCATTTCCGTCATCATTCATCATAATTTACTTTTTTATTTTTGACCATTACGTTGAACATAACTTTATTGTTGAAATAATTCTAGGTATAGCCTCAAAATTCAAAAGTACTTTGTGTTCAATTTCAGTCAATAGAATTATCATTCAAAATACCTAGAGAAAATGATTTGGGAGCTGTTGGATTTTCGAACTATTTTAATATGGGAAGTAAAGGTAAGGCGGACCATCTTATCTGAGGGAAAAGTCAAAAGTGTCCAGCTGTAAGCAGTTAAAGTTCAAGAACCCACTAAAATAGCGCTGGTGTAACAAGAGGAAATGATATGAATTTTGCAGTTGTAAACGGCGTGAGTTTTAATTTAAATTTAATATCTCCGGTGACTTGTGTAGTTGAGAATATTTTAGTTTATTAAACGTCAACTACTTACGTAGTTCAAAGTAACTTAGTAAATATAACCTGTGAAAGTGCTAAGATAACGGGGAGAGCGATTTCATTTTTGTAAGCTTCTGTTAATACTTCTTCGTGATTTTATTGTCTTTACTGTTATAAAGCTTGAAAAATAATTGAACAATATTGAAAAACTTTATGAAGTGAAGAGTTGTCCAAGTGGACGATTTTTAAAAAATAGAGAAAATGATATGTCCCAGCCTCCGTCTTTTTCCGACCAACAGTATGTAAAATTATATGAATTATTATTTATTCAGTTAACATTTGTTCACTTTCATAATTATCTTGATAAATGGTTTTTGGCGCTATTTTCAAAATTTGCCCCCTTGCTACTAAAGCGCCACCCTAATTCGACGCTTCTCTACGTACACTTTTTTATAGACAGAGATGGGGTCCTCTTTGCCTTTACCTTCGATATATTTTGATAATATTGAAGAGCTACAGAATCTGTGAAACTAAAAATATCGTATGATTGTGATGTGTTAAGAAAAAAGTTAAAATAATAGCTCACTGCAAACCAAAGGTCAAAAAGAAAATACAATCACTACGTTTTACTAAAAGCTTCCTTCTTATCAGGAATGAGCGTTTGGCAGACTTTTCCTCGAATTTTTTTAATTTACATGCGGGTTCCTTCGTGTCATGTCAGCACAAAATTGTACATAGTTTTCCGGATATTCCGTTTATCCACCTTACTGTACAAATAATAAATAATATATTTAACTTATGGCTGGTGTGGGGTGTTGAAACGGTATAACCCAAGATGTCATAGGTATCGGCGAGGGTTTAATTTAGTTTACTTGCATACTAGGAAATTTAAAGCAAACTCTTGTACCCTCAGCTATCGTAGCCCTCTAAGTTTGTGATACGAAACCAATGTAAACTATTGTTTTAATGTCTCGCCTAGATAGATATCGACTGCGATCATGCCGGCTAATCCGTAGGGGAAGTCCGGGCAAAGCGAATACCTTAAGATATTTAAGGATTTATCAGAAAATTTATAAGAGATGGAAACAAAACAAATATATCAAATCAGTCTTTATTAATTGCTTTTACATATATAGTAATCATTTAACTTTAAAAGTAAAACAACCACTAACAAAAAGTAAAATTCAAAAAATTGAGATAGTATTCACTTTGCCCGTACCCCCGGGCTACTACCTTCTAATTACACAAAACTCAAAGTTACACCTAGCTAGGGAATTTAATAGACGGACAAAACTTAAATTCGCGTTTAAAGGACAAATCTTAAAAATTAAGACCGGCAATTATCACATGTAAAATCTCCAATGCCTTCAAAAGCGGAACATTCTTCGTGACACCATCTGAAACAGGCACCACATCGAACCCAATTTTCAATTGGATGATTATTTTCTTCAATATATATTTCACCGCAAAAAAAACATACAATATCTTCAAATTTCTTAATTTTCTTTGATTGTTTATTATTTTTAACAGGTTTTTTAGTAATCTTTGTGGGAAATTTTTTTGATTCTACATTTAGTTTTTTACTTATATTATTAACTGCATTTTTTTCAAATTTTAACTTTTGCTCTTCTTTTATAGGTGTACTAGTTAAAATTTCCGACTTTTGCAATTTGTGTTTACTAGTTGTTATTGGTTTGTCTGGATTTGGTATTGGTCTTAACACTACGGGACTGTAGTGAAAGTTTGAACATCCAGGTTCCTGATTCGGTGGGTCATCACGGTCCACATATCTGCGTGTATTTTTTGAGGTGCCTGGTAACAATGCATCGCTTTTTAAAGGATGCATAACATTAATATTTGATCTGGCTCCAAAGTAGAAGAAGCTTTAAGAGACACTGTTTCTGGTTCCAGTGTAATAATAGAGCATACTTCACTGTGAATAATATTTTCTGAGGTTTTAGTAGATTCTTAGGAAACTACAATTGGTGCAACAGAGACTTGAGGTTGAGGTTTAGATAATTCACAAATTGTAGCTTTTCCTGGAGGTAGAACTATTTCTGAATGGGGATCAACTGTCGAATTGCATTCTTGTAAAAGTGAGGGTGAAGGGGTTGAAGAGGCAGCGGAATCAAGGATATCTATTATTTGTATCGAATCTATGCCTACTGTGCTGACATTCATACTTGATTTGCCTGCTATCACATCCGCTGGTTCAAAGTCTTCATCCCCAAAAGCATATTTGTTCACTAGCCAAATTCCAGGTCGTTCAAACCCATGAACTGCATTTATGGCGACTGCACTTTTCAGAAAAGCTGGTGATAACAGTCTGGCTACATCGTACTGATTTACAATGCGTCCAGGATGAGCCTTTTGGAACGTATTAATCTCTCGTTCAAAATACGTTTTCAGTGGGCCGTAGACGGCCACATCCATAGGTTGCATTTTATGAGTAGTATGCGAAATATGAGCTTTATAATACTGAAACTAAAAATCGTAACAGGTGGGCAAAGTGGATATCATATCCGCTTTGCTCTATTTACTTTGCCCAACCCGACCACTTTTAAGGTTAAGTTAATTAATATAAAAACCATTGATTTCGATTCCCTGTTCGACATATTTTAAAAAGGCACTTTGATACGTAATAGAACTATACCACGCCCAAGAATGATAAACAAATAATATAGGAAATATCATCAAAACACTTTCCTGGAAATATTGTAAATTATTATTTTTCGAAAACACAATTCGCCGTTCTGTGGACGCCACACGACTCTACCTCTCGCTTAAGTATTTGCCGCTCACTGAGACAAGATGGCGGAACGATGCTATGGCCGCGTGGTTAATGCCAAACGAATAGTTTGGTAATAGTGGGGACTATTCACTTTGCCCGGACTTCCCCTATGCGTTATTTAACCAATTGCATTATGTAGTAAGAATGACTATTATGGAATTGAATCGGAATCATTTATCTAGTTGGTATGACTCCTGTTCTGCTTATCATCTATTCTTACTTTCACAAACTTCGGCCTTTTTTTAAAAAAGATTTCAGGTCTACGCAGCAGTCTATTGTCATAGATTACCGACAAATTGAACGGTAGGTATGTGCGTGAGTGTGTGCGTATGGAATAATTTCTACGATCCTTCTTACAGCTCTGGTGGCTTTAGTTGGAGTTGTATTTCACAATTTTGAATCTAATTTTTTCACATACTACAGGCGCAAACAACTAAATGACCTATGAAGTCAACTTAGATCGCATAGAACTACAGTTATTTTCGAGAACACCTAAAATGTTTTAATCACAATTAAAACGTAGTCAAATGCCAGTTCTTCTGATAATGGTATTACCAATGTAGAAATAAAAACCATTCCCCGATAAACAAAAACCGGATTATTTACGAGTATATTTTATATTCCTCGATTACATACTTTTACCGGTGTGTGTAAATTTATTTTAAATGCTTGATAGTATTGTGGTATCAAAAAGAAAAAATAGTTCTATACTAGAGATGTACTTTTGTATATACGGCTGAACAAGAGGTTATTGTATAGGTACAGGTAATTTTTGGTGGTTTCCTTTACACCAGTACTTTAGGCTTTTATAGCAAATGGTGCCCTGGTTTTTTTATTTTTGTTTTTTATTTGATGTAAAATAGCTACATGTTTTAAGGAATAATTTAGTGACTGAAATACTGTTTCCTAGACTTTTTAATAGCGAAGTCCCTGATAATATCATTAAAATAAATTTCACATAGCAAATCACTTAGTCAATGAAAAGTAATAGTAATAATGCATCCAATCTTTCCTGCTTCATCATAGTACGAAAAGGATTTTTTTATTCACTTTAGTTGTAAAAATGTTTATGCCGGACAATTTGTAACCATCAAACTCAAGAATAACGTAATGCAATATCTAAGTTTGGAAAAGCTGATGTTTATTTATTTTCCCACACTATTTTTTATAAATTAGCTGGATTATGGAAACTGTAATCATTTTAATTTTTTGCCAAACATGATGAAATTGTTCAGTTTCATCAGCAGGTTAGGAGTAAGATCTTTTACATAGTTTAAAATCAAACGTCTTGCTTCAATAGCTACTTATCCATTTATAATGCAAATAAAATTAAATTATTCAGAAATTTCAGTTAATCTTGCCTCTTAGTTCATTAAACAATTTTCATAAGTCGGTTAAGAACTCAAAATTTTCGAGAAATGTATCTTAATTTTTTAAATTATATTATAAGCATGATGTACAAAACCAGATGTATTATGGTTAAAGATATTTTATTCTCAAAAGAAATATACATTTCACTTAATGAGAAGTTACAATATTCAAGTTATAAATGGGTTATGAGCATACAGGTAGCAAATATATATATATATTTGCTACCTATTATTATTTTGCTATACTAATATTACAAATGGAGGAAAGAGTTTCGTGACATACAACTTCTAACTAGTTTAGGCATACGATTTAATACTTCCTATATTATCTTTTTGTGTATTGATGTACAAGTTAGAAGTTAGAATACAAGTTAATAAAGTGGGTAGTAAATAAAATATTTGTTATCGTTACCGATTAACGCTGATTAGCGGTCGGCATATGGACAGGATCGGATTTAGAATTTATTCATTATATGTTGTTTTAGTTTGCTTTTAAAATGTTAAAACTATTTAATATTTTTATTTTTGCTTTTAAAGATGTTAAAACTATTTAATATTTTTATTTCTAGTTTTGTAGGAATATTATCCGTTTGTATTTTTTTCAATAAGCCTCCACATTTTTTAGGGTTATTTTTACAGATATTAAATGAGTTATAGTAGTACTCACTTTTTGTTTTAGTTATGAGGGTCGTTACTTCATTTCTTGCTTTTTGATGTAGCTTTATGAGTTTTTCTTTTTCATTATTCGAGCATTTTTTAAGTTTATGCCAAAGTTTATATTATTGCCTTTTGACTATCAATTAGCATAGTTATAAATGACAATTCATGCAATATGAAATTTAAAAAAAAATTGCAAATACTGATATCATAAAAAAATTACAGATCGCTAAATTTTGAAAATAAACATACGTAATATTTTTTTCTACTTTGAATTATGTTACACAATAAATGAAATCTAAATGCATTTATTGCATTTTTAATAGCAGGTGATTCATTTCGATTTGATTGATTAGTACCTACTTAACTTTTTTTATATTTTCAAATATTTATTCTCTGATATTTATTAATTCAACGAATAAAACATGTAATTTTTATGAGAAGTTTAATAACCGAAGCCCTCTCTGCAGTGAGGTGATGCCCTAGGCCAGTGCCTAGTGTGTCACACCGTGTGTAAAATTATCACTTTTTTATATTAACTGGTTTTATGGCTCTGGGTACTAGCCCTTCTGAGCCTACATTTATCACTGCTTTGCACAAAATACAAACCTAGGTGGTAGTAAGCACAGAGTACTTTTTATTGGAGCTCCGTCCAAATAGTATGATAACTGTCCGTCTGGGTATATATTTGCTGCCAACCAGCAGTGCAGCCTGTGCCTGGTAACCCAAAGAAAAATCTTGACTTGGCGCAGTAAGATTAAGAAGTTTCTGTATTAATCATTGCGCCGTAAAGCATTTTGTATGATTACCGAAACATGAGATTTTTCTATTATCTATTTATGGCTACACCCAACTCCCGTCTATTTCCAACTTTATTTTTTCTCAACATGGAACTTACGCAGATATTAAACGAGGGATTTGTCTTATTATAATATAATTGTTTTTAAATCCATCTTTTAAATTAGAAATGCGCAGCATGTTATGGTTATGAGCTTATGAGTATACGGAATAAGATTTTCCAACGAAGTAAATTGATACTCGATATAGTGTGGCTTGGCGCTATGTTACCCAGGCCTAGATAGGAGAGCAAGCCTAATTACGGGCTGTGAGCCATTTTATTTTGTTTTTCCCGTTTCGTGATTTAAAATACGCTAAAATTAGGTCTAATGTTGGTTTATATCGTGAAGTTAACAATTTATTATTTAAAAATAACATCGGATACTAACTTACTTACAAGGGTTATAAAAACAGTTATCACATGAAACCAGTCCGGTTCAGCAGCACTTATCTTGGCTCTTGTCAATATTGAACAGGCGACGTGCTTCTCAACTAAGTCTGGAAGGTAGTAAATGACCAAACTAGCATAATATTATAGCTTAGCGTATTATGTATAATGTGGACATTGTTCAGAGTTGAGCGAATCAATAAGTTCTTTAAGATGGTCATAATGAAATACGAACAGAACAGAGAATCTGATGAAATAAATTACCTAGATATAATTTAGTGGATTTGCGTTTTTAAGAATTTAATTTAATGTTTTTCAGAATTTTATATTTAACTTTTTTATCTATGAACTAGCGGCCCGCTCAGGCATTGTCCACGTTAAATAACTATCTATCTTAATTATTAGGTCATCTTGTGTTCGGTGTTTCGCTTTTCTGAGGTATAATACCTCAAGAAATGATTCTCTGCATTTACTGACCTAAAGAGACCAATATGTCACCGCTGCGCCGACCACCATAGTAATTATTTTGTCGCATAAGAGCTTTTTTTAAATAAAAATGGTTATTGTAAGTTATCCTTAGAAAATAGATATATACTATCGCCGACTTTTTTTTAGAACTTTTCAAAAGTAACAATTAGGCCAATACATTATTTTTGTGCAACTTTAATTACTTTTTTAGAACTTTAAAATTTTTCCGAAATGGTGGGCGACTATCATCATATCTTTTAGCCAGAATATGTTTACGCATAATATATAGCATATGTTCATCTGAAATAATGTACCTACCTTTAAAGCGGTGAAAGAATTTTTCAAACAAGTGCAATTGTTCCGGGGATTACCCTCCACATATAGGTACACAAACTCAAAAAATTCGCTCTCTCTATAATATTATTACTGTTGGTATAAGTATAATATAGATTGGTATAGATAAGATAAAATAATTAAATTAAAATCTATCACTAGGTATTAAAATGAATACCTGTACGCCTCGAAACAAGCACGCTCCAAATTTTGCAATATTTGGCGATGCATGATGATTCACCTGAATCCAATCGCAATGATATTTCAGCTTACCGGAGTGGACCACCACTTTCGAAATAAGTAGGACTCGAAACCTTTCTTAACGCGCTTCTGTTTTCTGACTTACAAAACGTCAAACGACTTACATAATAACCTTTTGCCGTTGTTTTTGTGTTCTGTATTGATTTTTATTGTGAGTTAACTTACAATCTACTTGTTACAGAAGAGGAGGCAAACGAGCGAACGGCTCACCTGATGGTAGGTGATCACCGCTGCCTATAAACATCTGCAAGATCGCAGGAATTGCAAGTGTGTTGCCGGTCTTTTAGAAAGGAGTAGGCTCTTTTCTTACTAGACCGGCGATAAGGAGCAACGTCAA